GTGATGCGATAATAAATATTTTTTATGCAAATTCTTTAATCAAATTAAATCAATGCTCCAATTTTATCAATTTTTTTATGCATTAAAATGCCGATAAATTTGTTTTTTGTTAGTTAATTAGCAAACTTTTCAATAATTACGTATTTTAGAATAAAAAAACGTTAACGTTTAGTAATTGAAAAATTAATTTTGAATAACGGAAACTCTAATAAATAACACATTTTCAATAACTTATAGCAGTGGACTTTACGTTAGCGCAAAATATTGAATAATGGAATAGTAATAATTGATAATTTATTTTAGACAGTAAGTAAATAATTATGTGTTTTAGAAAAATGAGTAATTTTGTTTTTGCAAATAAAAATAAAGCCAAAGCATACCTTTAATAATGGCATTTTTAAAGGTTCACGATTATATGACCACAAATTATTTTTGAAAAATTGCTCATGGAAACTTTCACCTAATCCTTGCGGTGGACGTGTTGGTTCTCTAGAACAATAAATACATTTCTAATAAATAATTTTATTTACGAAAGCACCAAGTAAAGGGCTTGCATGTAATAATTAATAAATTTTCACGTAGATTTACTTGTCGAAATATACCAAAAGGACGGAAAAATACGAAATACACAGTTGTAAATGGTAGCAAATACTAATTAATTTGATATGAAAATAAAAAAGTTGTCATTCATTATAGAAAATGGACAAAGTAATAAAAGCCTCAATGGTGTTAATTATTATTATATATAATTTTACCTGAAATTATTAGAAGCAAAACGTTCTAAGGTATGCTCAGGATTGATTATCAAGGGATTTGCTAATAACGATATCTGCCGATTCATAGGACACTCAAATTCTTGAGATCGGGCAAACAGATCCTAATATGAAACGTTTGATAAACGTAAAAACATAAACTTTACTCGAAGCTTTGCGTAATTAAAAATTTCAAATATATGCATTTTAATTCAAATGAAAAATCAAATGCCAGCGATGAATTAAATGTTTTAGTGTGTTTTTTGTAGAAAAGGCTATCATTTATAAACTTTGTAGCTAACACTTTTCATAATTAATAGCTTTATTAGTATGATACGCAATATGAAAGTGTTTTAAAATGATTTTTAATGATATTGAGAAAATATTAAAATTAGATTTAATTTTTGTAATTCTTTCTTTGTGTCATAAAAGTACGAGGTGATCGACTCTTTCAATTGCTAATAATTGTTTAATAATAAGTAAATCTTTTCAAAATATATCAGTAATGAAAATTAAGATTTAGCCGCTTCTTAGAATCAGCTGCTATAATTCTTATTGTTGACCCAAAATTTATAATTATATGAACTATAAATGAAACTCAGAAATTTTTCGACTAACCAAAGTTTCTACGGATGGTTTACTTATTGTTGGTAAAATATGAACTATATTAACTGGTATCATTCCTTGCACACCGGTTCTTGTATTTTCACCTCTAAGAAATTGATATTTGTCAAAAGATGCACCACAATATTCATCGGTCAAAAATAACAAATCCCATTTTTTGATTTTTAAGCAAACATTCGATTCATCGTTATCTAAAATTTACTGCTTATAAATATCTCATCACAAAACACTAATAATTTTTAAAGCTTTCTAACTAACTCAAAAATAATAAAAATTATAATACCATTTTATGTAATTACAGTTTGTAATGACAATTATTAATTTTTTTGTTATCTAATTATCGAGTTCCTCTGCCATCTAAACTTAATTTTCTCCTATTATTCAAATTTTGATCAAACTGTGAGAAATTGAAGTGTCAAAAAACCTTATCACATTAATAATTGCTACATAGCAAAGGAAGTTTTGTCAGTATCTTATCTAATGAAGATTAATTAAAGCCAATCTCCATTGCTAACAAATAGATATTACCACTGTTATCAGAGGGATAATCTTGTAGAGCCATCAGATATTTCGATCTTTTCTTCAAGCCATCCAGAAAGTATTCGACAATATTTTGAATATCTTTTGCTTTTGCTGACTGCAAGTAATACTCTTCCCCGTCAATTGTTTCAATTGTTAATGCTTGAACGCCATTTGCATTATTACTAAATTAAATTTTGAAAATATTTATCTTCTCCAGTGAAAAAAAAAGCAAATATCAGAATGAAAAAATATCTTCTGAAGGCACAAAAAAGAAATATTTTCAATGTCACTTCTTTTTAAAATATCTTTTAAAATATCTTTGAATTTCTTAATTCTACTCCAGCAAAATTCATAATACTGATACTACGAATAATATTAACAACAAAATATTGCTATTATTACTATCATTACTATTGCTATTATTATCATTATAGGTAAAAAACTTTTGTCATTCGAATATCAAAATAATAGTAGATTCAACAATAACAACTGTTGTCGTAAAGTTCTATCAAATTATTAACAATAATTGTTATATATATAATAACTGTTAGGAATTGATCTCTTTCAAAATGTGAATTCAGCTTTTCATAAAGTAAATATTTGAAAATTTTTGATTTATTTTGTTCAAAATTGGTGGAAATTGAATAACTAAAAAGTATTAAGCAACGTTTTTTACTTTTAGAATGCAAATTTTAACTGTACTTACGAAAATAGGATAATACGTGATATTTTTATAAACGGAAGTAATAGAATAACGTCATCTTCACCATCGATCACAGATACACCTTGCCAATTCACAGCGAGTAGCACCTTAATTACAATTAAGTAATTTAGTTCTACAGAAAGTGAGCAGCAAAAATTAACTTTGGCGGCAATATTTCAAGATTATTAAAAAGCAGAACGAACTATTGGAGTTACTTTAGGTAAACGTTAATAACTTACTTGACCATCGGGTAAAGATGGGTTAGAAGAGCTAAATGATTCAAAATATTTTGAAAAAAGTAAAGGCCATTTTTGTTTGGCGAAATTGACTACATCTTCTTTCACTTGTTCCGGTGACGGATGGTTTGTGTAAAATTTCTGTAACGATTAACTTGCATATCAACTTATTAATTACTCATTAATTAAATTCGATTTTTTATCAATTAAAATTACAGTTCGAACATAATTATTGAAATTATTTTGACAAGCTTGATATTCTTGGAATTAGAAACGCAGATTACAAAATTTTTTGATAAAATGTTTGTCAGAGCAAAATTCTCTGACTACATACCTTTAATGATAATAATAAATTTGCATTTTTGAAACTGTGGCCGAAGTGCTTAGAAAAATTTTCTCAGTTACAAATTTACTTATCAATTTAAGATTCGAAAAATATAGTAAGAGTGTAGTGGGTTTTAGTTATTATGAATAATCAAGAAGAATCTGTAAAATACGCTGAAATCAATTCAACAATTTTGAATTAATTAATTACAATGATATTTCATTATTTGGATTAATCTGAAAACCTTTCTAAGTGCATGAAGTATTAGTTGAAGCCATCGCTCATTGCTATTTTCATCAAACTTCTGAATTTCGTCTTCTGGAAGATATATCATCAGGCTGTTTTCAAGTTTTTCAATATCCATTCCGGTATCACCATGATCAATGTAATATTGCTGAGCTGCTAGCATCGCTAAATCTTTTATCTATAATTAACATTAATTAAGAATCAACTTTTCCGATGAGTTTATTTTAGCCAATAAAATTTACTATATGTACAGTCTTCTTAATCAGAAAGATTGAAAAAATGATCAGAAATTTGAAGTTTTGCTCATTTACATTCAATATAATCACAGAAATACTTTGTATTGAGCAAATATTATTAAAGCTAATGTACAACAAAATACTTTATTATTCAAAGTAAATGATAATGTTTCAGTTGATTCAAACTTTCTTGACCTTAATCAAAAATATCACGTCTTATACAAATTTTTTTAAGAGTTTCACAATAATCTGTTTCAAAAAATTTGCATCCAACAACCTGCTTTCAAATATTATCTTATATTATAAATAATATAAGATAATATTTGAAAACTAAATGCAAAAAATAAAATTTAAATAACAGCAAACCTTAGTAGTTTGATATTCACCATATTTTATTCCCCGAATTATTTGATAATAGATAAGATTAGTGCTGATAGGATCATCACTATAATCGGAATATTACATTTTATATCTTAAACAATTTCAATATTTTATTATTTACTATTATTATTATCACTATTATTATATTAACTGTACTTATCGCTTCCATTATTAATTTATTAATTACGAACGGAATTTTATCGAACAAAATATCTAAGTGATTTAAATGTTTTTAAGGGATTTAAATTTACTTAGTGTACTTATCGCTTCGATTTTAAATATCTAAGAGATTTAAATGATGCAAATTTGAATGTTTTTTGATGGAATATAATTATTTGCTACACAATAGTTTGACTGCGCAAGTACTATCATGCAAATACGATAAAACTATGTTCATGAAAATAGAATTTTCATTTTGTTCGGGAATTCATTAATTTTACGAGTATAATGAATATTAAATTATGTTTCGAATATTTGTGTAATATATATAACATCTTATTGCGCAGGCATATCTCCTAATTTTGTTCTATACTGGAATAGATCATTACTTTGTATTATGCAAAAATATTTTATAATATTAACATGCGCAAGTATTTTTATGATATA